GAATCTCCATTTTAAAGAATTATATCCCAGAAATATACATTTTTGAAAAACCCATTATCCATTATTTTGCATTATTTTGAAGAACAATGAAGAAATAATTGCAAATGAAAGGTGATGCAGAAGCACAAAAAATGAGAAAATAATGAATTAATTCAAAAGAATATGGATTCTTAGAATCTAGAATATGAACTTGATATAGGTTCCATGATAAAATGAATTTTTTTCTAGACAAAATATAGTAGTAATCCTAAACATTTCAACATGTTCAGAACAAGGATTCCTGTACCAATTTTATTTCCTTGTTCATTTATTTAAATTCCACCTGTTTATTAAAAGAATTAAACTAGCTAATTTCCTATTTAAATAGGTTCACCAGACTGGTGCTTATGAAAATACTATTGAATAAAAATTAACCTTAATTTCAATGAGATGCTGATGAAGGCTCTTAGGCTGTGCATATGCTGGGCAAATGTAAACTGGGTCACTACACAATTAGGCAGATTTTAGGTAGTGTTGTGACAATGTCTAGGGGAATAATTCATGGGTCAGTCAACTTGGAGAAGGCAGACCTCTAGCATTATGCAAGAGGCTCCACTACAGACCGCTCAGATCCTTGGTTTTAATTGATGACTTAGATGAAAACACAGAAAGACATTCAGCTAATTTCAAGGTAGATTTGAAGCTTATAGACTTGCAAGAAAAGATTGCACTGGTAAAACTGAATTAAGGTCGTGATTTATTGGGACAGAAAAAGACGTCTATTTTAAACAAAGTGGGTAAGTACTGAAGGAGGCCATGGGAGTCTCCACATCTTTCTGTCCCCAAATCTAATCTAATCCCATAGTGTCACTTGCATTGTCAGTGCAAGATAGCACGCCACTGCTGAAAAGCTCAACTTCGTGGCTCCCCACAACCCCTGGCTTACATCATGAACCAGGAAAAACATACACAAATAGGAGACATTTACAGATAGGCAGACCCCCTCTTGATGCTTGAATAAAACAGAAGGTCAGTTTAGCCCACAGAGTGGTTGAGCAGGAGAAGGCTCCTGTCCCCACCCCTCACCTCTGTGTCTCTCTTTACCACAGTGTCCAGAAATGCACTTTGCCCTGGCCCCCAGACCTGTCTCAGACGGAGGTGCAGTCACCAGGGTTACGGTTCTCAGTGCAAACAGTCTTGCTGGGACTAAAACAGAACCATGTCCTGCGGTGCAATTATTGTATGTTATCTAGAACCTAAGTCATTATTCTTGAAGAATTACAGTGATCTGTTCCTCTCTTTTTTTTTTTTTTTTTTTTTTTTTTTTTTGGTTTTTTTCCGGGACCAGGAATCAAACTCATGACCTCGCGCTTGCCAGGCAGGTGCTGTGCCGCTGAGCTAAATCCCCAGCACCCACTCTCATTTTCTTTTAAAGGTTTGTGTTTAGTTGTTGAGAGTCTTAGGGCTGCAGAGTCAAACTGAGCATCACAAAATGTGGAAAAGGCGGGTTGCACGTTCAGGAATTTCTGTCTCTGGTGATCTGACATCTTAGCTCATTCCCCACAGCAGCCCATCCGATTCACCGAGACATGAAACTAGCAAGGACCCTTGAAATGCCAGTGACAAATCAAAATGTTAAAGCATATCAGAAATGCTAGAAGCATGAGCTGAAAATTAAAATAAACTCACCAAGTAAATAAAAAGTCCTACCCTTAATCCAAAAATAGAAAATAGAAAGGATCTGATTTTATACAAATACATGATTCTTTTTTATTAAGTTTATCAGAACCATTTACATATACATAATAGTCACATTCATCATATAGAATCTGTACCTGTATGTGATATATCTTCATTTCTCTTTGTTTCCCCACCCCCTCCCCTCCCTTCAACCCCTCTTCCCCTCCTTATTTACAAAGCTTTGTTTCCATTTTGTCTTTCTTTTCTCATGGTTTTCTTTTCTCTTCCTTCCTTTCCCCCTTCCTAGTTCCCCTTTCCTTTTGAACAATTTCTTCCCATTTCAAAATGTCTGTTATACATTTTGGTTCTTCTTTATATTTTCAGTTTCTCATGTCAAAAACCAATTACACACCCTTGTCTGATTTATTTTCCCTTAAGAGTATGGTCTCAATGTCCACCCATTTAGCTATAAATGCCTCAAGTTTATCCTTCTTTGTGGCTGAGTAGTATTCCATTGTATAAAATAATCTTTTTATCCATTCATCAGTTGTTGGACATTTGGGTTGTTTCCAAGATTTATCTATGAATTAAAAGCACCATACCACAGCAATATATGCACACTCATGTTTGTAACACATGACTCTTTAAAATGAGATTTTGAATTAACTGCAAGCTTAATAAAAACCTGCAGGCTGGGCCTGGTAGCATATGCCCCTAATCTCAGCACTCAGGAGGCTGAGGGAGAAGGATTGCAGTGAGATCAAGGCCAGCTTGGCTATGTAGTGAGTTCAAGGCCAGCATGAGCTAAGATTAATAATATCAACAAAAATGAAAATGGAGAGAGGGGATTTGGAGGAAGAGGAAAGGTGGCAGGTGGGAAGGAGAAGGGGATTTAAAAAGTAACTCTATTATGTACACATACATACTCTCGAAGATGAATGTAAAATGCATGTACTAAAAACATGTACTAATACAAAAGAACCTATAGAATGAATTATCTATTATAATACATAGGTATACATACATAAATGTATATATTGCATTTATAAATGTCTATATCTAAGGTAGCACTAATTGCTTTCTGTATACTCTTACTGGGGAGGCAATAGCTCTGGTATTTTGGTTAATTTTGTCCTTTGTATTTTAAAGAGATATGAGCTAGCCATAGAATACTATGACTCAAAACCATGCCTGATGATAAAGAAAATAATGACAGCAACTTCCACAAATGCAGTCCCTGTTAAGTGTCTGACACAGTTGTAGACACTATACCTAAAATGTCTGTAAACTTAAGTGTTTTCAACCTTAAAGAATCAAGGAAAATCTACTTTTCCTAGCTAAACTTTAAGTTCCATAGTGACAAAGACTTTTGTCCATAATGTTCAGATGACAGTGGAGATACTAATAATGATAACAATAGTGGCTACCAAGTATCTAAGAAATGAATTACCAAGTAACAGCGAGAAAAGATTAAGTGGCTCCACAGGGGAAACTAGATCAAGGGTATTGAAGTTATAAGGAGTCCGATTAAAGCTCAAGCATCAGAAAAGAATTTCTGCCATGTATTGTTGCTCAGAAATAGAGCAGGAAGCCTTTCAAGGAGACCCATTACTGTTAGCTGCTCACTCTGTACCTGCTGCAGAGGTCAAGACTGTGCATTTATCACCAGCTGGCCAGGTTCATATTACTGTCCTCCTTTTATGCATGAGGGAAATGAAGTGCCAAGTGAAAACCTACTGAAGCTCACAGAGCTAGGAAGTGACAGAATTAAGGATTGCTGACATAGAGGTCTGTTCATTTTCACTAAGTTGTAATGTTCCTTGCCCCTGGAAATAATCCTACGTGGCTGTTCACCAGTGTCCGTCTCCTGAGAACGTTAAGGGAAAGCCTGTACTGAGTCAGGGTGAGTCCCAAGAGGTTTCAAGAACCCAGTCTCAGTGAGCGTATTTGTCAAGCAATACGCTCTCCTAAGAATAAATGTTTAATAATATGCTTCCTAAAATGACAAAGAAATAAGATTGTTGACAACATTTTTAAGTGAGTTTAAAGAGAACAGTCTGAGTTGAGGGGATCCTAAATGTTTTCGAGTTTCATTAAGAAAGCATTTCACTGGCCTCCTAACCATCACTGCTTCCAGCGCAGTTTATTTACTCACTAATCTCTTATATTATGAAGAATTTATGTATCACATTTTACTGGTGTAGACAAAGTTCAATACATGTCAAATACAAAAGTACAAATGTTGGTTTTCAGAAAGCCAAATATTTGAAAGCAGAAAAAAGCAGAATGGGTTGTAGACACAGCCAAGAGCTTAGCCCAATCTTAGCAGGTTCGAGAGAGCACCAGGAGCTCAGTGTTCAGGTGACAGGGCTAGGAAAAGATCAGCCCACACCTGGCTGAGATTCTGTAGGATAAAGATGGGAAGCACTGCGGGGCAGGGGCAAGGGAGAGAGCCTGCAGAGGGCCTTGCATTCTGCTGGGGCTTTCAGACCTGGCATTTTGGGCATCAGGAGCCGTGTTGGGTCATTTAGTGGAAGAGCAGAATAAGGAAAGAAGTTCAAGCATATGGGAAACATATTCCCTCCATGCTAGAAAGCCACAGATAAGAAATATTAAAGGTTGAAAGGTGTCCCCTCTTCTGAGATTGTAAGACAGATATCAGTAAGAGTAGTGAACACTTACACACACTTACTGTGTGCCAAGCAGTGTTCTAAGTGCACTGAGCTACTTATTCTTCTGTACGACAAACTTGTGAAATATATACTGCTCACTTACCATCATCATCCCCCCCTTCAGATGAGAAAACTGGGGTCTTTAGAAGCCATTGCTCAAAGTTCCCACTTAGAAGATGCTCAGTATCCAATGTGTGGTCACTTAACAGTCATGTCCAAGTGACCAATAAGAAGGGGCTGGTGATTTAGCTCAGCGCTTTTGCCTGGCAAGCTCAAGGTCGTGAATTCAGTTCCCGGTACCGGAGAAAAACCAAGTGACCAATAAGAGTGCATTTAAAAAATCTATTTATTTGGAACAGTATCTGATATCATCTAGTGGCTGAAGCCACAACTTGAGCAGATTGTTCTCAGAAGTGGCAGACAGGACAGGGTTCAGGCAGGGTTCCTGGATGAGCCTGGTGGAAATCTGCTCTCCAGTGTTGGATGGACATCTCTCACCCTTGAACCGGAGGAATGGGAGCAGAATGTTGCAAACCTTAAAGTAATAGTTATAGTCTGGTACAATTAAAAATAAGTGTATTGATTATATCTGTGGTTGTCTTGTTGATAGACATTATAAATTCCTTTCCACACACGGCACACCATATGTGTACTCTCGTTCCCCACTAGGGGCTCAAGATCTGGATCGCATCCGACTCTCCACCTACAGAACAGCATGCAAGCTGAGATTCGTTCAGAAGAAGTGCAACTGTAAGTATGCCAGTTGTTTGGGCTAATTACCCTCATGAATCCTATAGTTTACATTTGTTACTAAGTTTATTAAAACTGGCTGTTCTTACAAGTATTATTTACACAACAATAAAAGGGATATAACGGTACACAAATGGTAGAGAGACGGTTTGAAAGTAATTCTCAAGTCTCAATTACGTTAACCACTAAAGTATTGAAATGTGTAAGCCTCAAGATGGATATGTAATCCTGACCTTGGAATGGTTTCCATCTGGATAGGTGTTTTTCCTCTTTTCTCTACATTTGGTGTTATAAATGCAGTGCCAGCAAAATGGTTTCCAAGAACTTTATAAAATATGAAACATTAAATTCCTTTCATATGTGTATTTCCTTTGTATGAAAATATTTACATGCTCCTGGAAAAAAAGTCAGGCTTCTTTCTGAAACTACAAATTAGCCCATTTTATCGAAGTATGAACTGCATTTACTGACATCACGCAAGAGGGAAGGAGATATTGCTTAAGGAAATACAGGCTTTGTTCCAAACGCAGGCTCTAGCTTGTTCTAGCACTTCAAGCTACCTGCGGCAAGCTAGCTGACCAGTCACACGAGCAGTGTCACACCCTCTGCTGGGACAGTGGTCATAGTGCCATAGCCATTTTCTCTTGGGAAAAAAATGCTTCATAATTCGTGTGTATAAACTTACTTTTTCTTTTTTGAAAACTGACTTATTAAAGCTTTGTAACTGTTCTTCCTTTCTAATTAGTGTTGGATGAAATTTTAAAAACAGAAACCACAATGTTCTCCTGGACATGTGCACATACTTATAAAGTAACTGGCTTGAGAATTTGATTCTCAGTGAGTGCAGAAGTCAGACAGCTCCAACGTCTGCCCGGTGGAGTCTTCAGCAGGTGTTTCCCAGGGTCCTGGGTGGGACACGCAGCCCCAGGCTTCTAAGTATGCAGCCGATTAGGCTGTGGAGATGGACAGTGTCCATCTTTCCTGCAGGGTGCTCAGCTATGGCCTATTCTCTTGCCCTAGTGACTAAGTATGGGGTTACACTTCAGGGCAGAAGGAGGAGGGAGAAAAATGTAGATTAGTCAAACATCAAATATTCATTTTTGACTCCTAATAGAAAGCCAAACCAATCCAAAAAAGTAGAGAGAAAAACACTACAATTGTCGGGAAGAAGCTGTGGCTGCGTGTGTAGTCCTGGGCATTGATAGGTCAATAAAAGCCGTATCCAGTGCCGGTATAGGGGACAAGAAAAATGTTCCCAGAGAGAAAAGTTCTCCCTTCCCGCTGCAGCCCACCAGTCTTACTGAAAAAAAAGAATCTCCATGTTCCCAACAATGGAAGGCGATGGTATTCTCCCACCTTCTTAACATTTACTAGCATTTCAGGGGTGCTGCAAATTGAGGGGGAGTGGGAAGAGTAGGGGTGATACTTCCATCCCTCTTAAAGCTTTGCTAAGCAGAACAGTTTCTCTTGTTTCTCTCAGTAGAGCTAGAGACTTCCAAAAGGACTACAAAGTGGGAAGGAATAACAAGAAAATAAGGAAAAGAAAGGAGCAAGGGAGGGAGGGTGGGAGGGAAGAAAGAAGGAAGGAAGGGAGGGAGGAAGGAAAGGAGGGAGGAAAGGAGGAAGGAAGGAGGAAGGAAGAAAGAAAAGAAGGGAGGGAGGAAGAGTGGGAGGGAGAGAGGGAGGGAGGAAGAGAGGGAGGAAAAGAGGAAGGAAGGAGGAAGGAAGAAAGGAAGGAAGGGAGGGAAGGAAGGAGGGAGGGAGGGAAGGAGGAAGGGAGGGAGAGAAGGAGGAAGGAAGGGAGGGAGGGAGGGAGGGAGGGAGGGAGGGAGGGAGGAAGTGAGGCAGGAAGACAGGGAGGGAAAAAGGAAGGAAGGAGGAAGGAGGAAGGGAGGCAGGGAGGGATGGAGGGAAAGGAAGGAAGGGAGAGAGGAAGGAAAGGAGGAAGGAAGGAAGGAGAAAGAGAGAAAGAAAGAAAAGAGAGGGAGGGAAGGAAGAAGGCAGGGGAGGAGAAGAGAAGAGGCTCATAGTGCTTTGGCAACCCTGCAGCCAACATTGCAGAACGCACACAGTGTCATCCCTCATGGGGTGCTCTAGCCACCCCAGGCCTTACTCCGTTTCCTCTGCTCTCTGAGAAAGGTCCATTCTTATTCCTGCAAATTCTTTTTCCTTCTCTTGTTCTTTTCTGGCCTCATCCTTGTCCTCCTGCCCTGGTTACTTTTCTCTCATTATTGAGACAAAATACTCGATGCCAAAAATTAAGGAAGGAAAAGTTTATTCAGCTCACAGTTTGTGGAGGTTTCAGTCTGTAATCAGCTGGCTCCAAAGCAGGGTGGCATGGCTGAGGGGCAATAGCTCATGGAGGAAGAAGACCGCAAAAGCAGCAAGAGCAACAGGGGAGAGCAAGCCTCTTTTCTTCCCTTACACTGTATGCAGGCTACCACCCTCTAGGGTGGGTGTAGCACTCACACCATCTCTGTGCCCTCCTCTTGCAAAGGCTCAGGATGTTTATAGAGGGAGGACCCTGATCCCCCTGCTGAGCTGCTTCATTAAACTTCTCAAGCTGACACAGTGTATCAATCATTACACCACCATTCGGAGTTGTGTCTGTCACATGGACTTTCTTGGAAAACTACAGGGGAGGAAGAAGGGCTGTTAGTCTACTGCAAGTGAAAGCAGAACCTTCCTACCTGTCCAGTGGCTCCCCACTGTTGCCATTCATTTGCTTCTTAATTTAGGAAGCCTGTGATGAGCTCTTCATATATGTTCCTCTGTAAGAACTTCAAATACAGCCATGTTAAATCATGTGTAATCCCTACCTTAATGTTGGTTGAAGTCTAATCAGAAAGTTGGAGTTCTAAACAGATTTATAAACTTGCATAGAAGTGTAATGACAGGAATAGCTACACGGTGTTTGGAACTTTGCAGATGGTACTTGACATGGGGACTTCTGAGATGACTTTCCTGAAGGAACTCTGACCTGGATCTTAAAGAATTAGTAGACATTCGGGCGGGAGGAGTCTTATTTACTTTACAATTCACATTAGAAACTTCATGTATTTTAGGAATAGCTACTACATTCTATGCAAACTAGACAAAGACTCAGGGAAGAAAAACAAGTACACGTTGAATGTTATGTTTAAATTAAGCTTCTTTTGAAAATTTTTTCTATCTTGATAAAAAGTGTTAAATACAAGCACTGCATATTGTTGCCAACTTTTCCTTCTTAACAAGAAATATAAGTTATGATGTTCAGAGTAACTATAAGGTGCTAACACAATGGATCTTGACTTGTACTAATCAAAGTTGGAGACTTCCTTCTAGAAAGGTAACCAGTAGGACTAATTATTTTGGTAAGATAACATTAGTCAATGTTGACTATGCATCCAAGTATAAAGGAAGGTAATTTTAGTCTGCAGTGAAACCTAACTCACAATAAATGATGGTACCTTATAATGGAGCTTTCCTAAGCAACAAAAGAAACAAAGAAAAAAATAGTATATTTGTAATTGTATTTGTAACAGAATGTTTCCTGAACAGACAGAGCAAGGAGCTTTTATGGGGGAAACTCATTCATATTCACTCAAGAGAGACTGTCATAATGGGTGAAAGGATGAGACTTTCAGAGTGCTCAGTTTGACGCCATGCTTCTTCCCTGCATGTTCAAGAGATGTTGGACAAGAACTCCTTGCGTGGAAAATGTAGTATTTTAATGAGCAAGTAGCATTTTAATGAGCAAATGTAGTATTTACTCTAGGTTACATAAAAAATGGTAGGGCAAGATGAGTCCATGGTTTCAGTTGGCTCTTTGTATATTTCTCCTCCCTGCCTTCCGTAAAACAAAGAGCAACTTGATAGGCAGCATGTAGTCATTGAACAGGGCAGCAGCTTTCTCCTGCAAGCATAGGTGTCCCTCAAAGTACCTCCTCAGCAGCTAACGTGTTACTTAGTCCACTTGAGCTACTGTAAAGAAATACCACAAACTGGGTTGCTGATGAACAACAGAAATCTATTTCTTATAGATCTGGAGGCTGAGAGGTCCATGATAAATTTTCCAGCCAATCTAGGTCTGCTGAGCATCATTTTCAGATACTCAGACAGAATCTCCCCTTTGTGTCCTCATAGGAAGGAGCGAGCAATGTAGCTCTCTGGGGCTTGTTTCAAGGGCACACATCTCAACCAGAAACACTCCCCTCTCATGTACCAGTCACCTCCCTAAAGTCCCTGCTTCTGACCACTATCACATTGAAGTTAGATTTCAACAGGAATTTAGGGGAAGGAGACACAAACGGGCCATAACAGAAACTCAATATAGTACTTACCTCATAGAAATCAGTGAAACTTAATTCAAAACAGGTTATTTTTAGGTGAAGACTTCACAAGTAAAATTTATTTTGCATATTAATGAAATTAAATTTAAAACCCACATAATGGAATTACAAAATGTAACAACTAGCACTATAAAACCAGCACCTAGAAAAAAAAAAAATACTGTCCTGATTGTCTATGTTTTCAAAAGATTTCTTTTTTATCTCAGTTCAGGTATCATAAATGTTAGTTCATTCTTCAAAATTCCTCTCCCACAGTCCTCGCCTCTTGTATTTATGCCTTCTCATATAGAACATTGATTTCATGTTCATTTTCTTGCATGCAATTCTTAATGTATACTGAGAAAAACCCATCCTGTGTTGTGAAAGAACTCTCAACAAGAGGCCAGAGAAATGTGGCCTGTGGACTGACTGTAGCCCCTCACTTCATTTCGTATGGATTGTGAACTAAGAATAGTTAGTAGAGCTGAATATTTGCAATTGGTTTGATAATAGGGAACAATAAAATGTAACCTCCATTAAGTAAAGTGTTGCCCTCTCTCAAAAAAAGAATTCCATCCTTTTTATTGGTAGGCTGGTATTTTTAAAAACTCAATTCTTCTATGTTTGTATTCATCAATAAAAATATTGTGTAAGTTTGTTTTCTTACATATGTAACTATATAATATTTTA